GTGTTAGGTCGAGCCACGTTCCCCCATCAGACGGTTCCCCCAGCGTCTCAAACAACAGAGGAGCTTCCAGTGCACTCACATCAGAATAACTTATAGATTTGTTGTTAGAATAATTGATTAATCGAAAAAATAATCGTTAGATTAATCGATTAGAAAATAATCGTGTGGTACAGCACTACATATATATAATTCTCATACGTTAGCTCTTAGATTGAGCCCAATTTGAGTCATTTTTCTGATTTTTCCAACAGATTTCTCCAGGCCTTTTGGAGCCACCCAGCTGTGGCACAACATCATCAAGGCCCTGCAGACCCAGGTGGAGGTGCGTCCCTACAGGAGGCACCTCCGTGTTCACGCTGACTGTTTCACGGGGTCGGAYGCCGTGGACGCAGTTCTCAGTTATTTGATGCAGAACGCGGTGCTCTGCACGAGTGAGGTGTCCCGCCTGAAAGCCGCTCGCCTCTGCCAGGCTCTGATGGAGGCCAAGGTGTTTGAGCCGGTGGGCACGAAGCTGTTTCGCAGGGACAAGGAGGTCGCCTTTGAGGACAACAGCGGCAGCCTTTACCGCTTTCTGGAACACGAAGGGGTGAACAGTCTTGCYATGAAAGTGGACAGCAGTGGCACGGAAAACACGCCGCCAAATAATTTTGGCACAAAACGGAAAAAGAGCTCCAGGTTGGGTTAAAAAAATACTTAGACCTAAATAGTTATTTTCACTCATTATCACATKCTTATTTCTTCCTAAATTCAGAACATATGTGATCTATGAGTTAATACTTTGTTATAGATCACAGCTAAACAATAATTAATAATTGATGTTTGTGGCAGTTCACAGGAAATCCTAAATAATTCTCTAAAAGCCATCTGTCTTTTTTGTTAAGGGTGAATGAAATGAGGACAATCGCGAACCCACTTGCTGTTGGATCATCAGACAGGAGGGTCGAAAGGCTTCTGAGGACGATCAACCTGCAAACCTCCTTTTTTCCTGCTCTGAACACAACACCCTCAACCTCCAGCTTCCTGTCTAAAGCTGGTGACAAACTAATCTGTCAGGATATGTTCGGACTCTACGCAAACGTTTTAATATTTTTCTCCACTCTTTTTTCCTCCTTCCTTAGTGGTGGATGAAGTCTGGAAGCAGCAGACATTGTTGCAGCTGCTGCAGATAATAGAGTTACCCGTTTTGGACGGCGTGCTCGCCTCTCCTGAACGAGTTCAGCCTCGGACTTGCATAGCTTCTCTGGCCAACGTGGACCTGGTTATCTCCAACACATGCCTGGAAAGAGAGCTGCCGGAATCACTCAGCCTACTCCGGTCAGTAACTTCTCCAACACTTTGAAGCTTTTTGAACCAATGGTAAAAGCTGATCTTGTTAAGAGGAGAGAAAAAAAAAGGCATGTTCGTGCTTTTCCCTGTCAGGCTGGATGCATGGCTGTCAGCAGCTGCAGACTGCTTGGAGCTGTTTCCGGACCAGTTGATCATGATMGCAGGGGAGCAGCTCAGTCAACAAAATGGCGATTTTAATGCAGAGCACATGGACATCCAGAAGAGACTGCTTTTTGACACYATTGCCAAATACTACAGTGGGAAGGAAAAGACTCCGATTATACCAGGGCGCTACCTGGATATACACGTTGCGGTTCTTAATTTACTGGGTAAAACTTGGTTGAAATAAAACCTATCCATCATGTTTGACAGGAGACGATGAAAACATCTATCTTTCTTTATTGTCYAGATGAAGGCAAAACACAGCATGCCTTTCGAGCAGCTCAGCTGTGTTTGCGGCTGCTGGAGACGAGTAGAAGAGACGAGCTGCGACGATTGCTGGCCTTCATGGCCTCAGCAGCTCGGTCGGACGCCTGCCGACTCCAAAAGCAGGTATGGAATGAATCGCATTTATTTTTCTGCCTATATGGTGAGTTTATTTTTGCAAAATTCACTTTTGAAGTTGGATCAGTTGTTGTGGGACTTTTCACTGACGCTGGTGTTTTCGCYTGCTTTCAGACTGATAACAGAACCTCGGTCTGTCGCACGTTCCAGAGAGCTCTTGTTCAGAATCCTGAGCTCACTCGGTCCCAGAGTGAGACGCTGGTGCTCTTTCTCATGGACAATTACTCTGAGCTCTTCAAGGTGCACTTCAGTTCTGTCACTCCTCTTTACAAGCTGCACAAGGAACCTAATTAACTAYGTTTTTCTCACTTCCTGCCATGATGATAGACTCCTACAGCTCTTGTWGAAGCCGTGAGAAGAACACTGAGGACTCTGCAGCAGGGCAAAGACCCAGATTTTGTTGCATGTAAGTTAATATTAAACAGTATATAATAATACGTTGTAGTAACTTAATCAGTGTTTTTAAGTCTTCAGACTTACAGGAAGAAAAWTTTTTCTTATCAACTGCACTACATCCAGGTTAAAGTCTTAAAGGGCCAATATTATGTGTTTCTCAGGGGTATATTAAAATACTATACCATAATAAAGTATCTATGTCACCTTTAGCTGTTATTAAAATTCTGTTTTTGTTTAAATAGAAAATAAACATATCTTCTCATCACTTCCTCTTCTAAACGCCTTGAAATTGGCCTCTGTCTATTTAAAGTGTATCTTACCCCCCTGTGAAAAGATAACTCCGCCCCAAGGCGAAATTTGAAAAATGCATAAAGTGGGTAGGGGAGGGGGGGTTAGAGAGCGGAGGTGTGGCCTGGACGAGAGAACATGACAGCCTCGGCTGAGCTGTCCGCCTCACAGGACAGTGGAGTGGAGCGCTCCGCGACAGCCTGACATAAAAAAATAAAAGCAAACAGCTGCATCTTCTCTCAAGATCACTAGTTTAAATCAGGAATAAAAGTGTTGGGTCTTGTTTGACTGAAGTTTGGTCCGTTAGGGCTGCAGCTGCCCCGCTGTGTTTCTGCCTTTTTTTCCCTCCTCCCCTCCCGCTGTGCAGGACGTACTGCTGGTGTGTGTGTGTGTGTGTGTGTGTGTGTGTGTAGAGAGAGAGAGAGAGAGAGAGAGAGAGAGAGAGAGAGAGA